AATAGGACTCCAGAGTAGATGAGAAGTTTTCACTTGTCATCTGCCGACCCATCTGGACCCACATAAACTCACGATAGAGTGCATAGACTTTGCTGTCCCAGAGTTTTTGAGCAAAGTGTTCTTCCACGACAATCAGGAGGTATTGTTCCACCAGTCTTTGGAGCTCAGGAGGCAGGTAGTTAGGAATGAAGGATTCCTTCCCTGTTTGTGATTCTGTCTTGACTCTGCGACGTACAAAGATCAAGTCCTGGAAGTCACGGAAAAGGCCTCGTGGTGAAGTAGAGTTGCGGATCTTCAGATCAACAAATTCTGTTGCACGTGCAGGCTGGCCAGCAAGCACATGACAGAGAACGGCAAGAGACTTGTTAATTTGTGAACAGACCTCCATCACCTCATTCATCGCCCCAGGATTCCACATCAGTGCTCCAGAAGGATCAACTGGGCACAGGCGGAGATCCTTATCCTGTGTCAAGATCTTCCAAAGTATTCCAGGCTCTGTGAAGGTCCCATTATTAAGCCAGCTATAGTCACGTTCCGCATTGGTCATGTCATCAGGAACATGATCTGGGATATTGATAGGGATATTTTGGCCATGGAAAAGTTTATTCATTTGGTTCTCCGTGTCTTGAAAGAGGCGACGAACGCCACCAGTCAGGTCTGCCAGCTGCAACAGCTTGCCTTTGTATGCAAACTTGGTAGCATCATCAGAGATCGTGATGCTGGGTGCAGTTGTCTCAGAGAAAGCCAGGGACGAAATGAAGCGTTGGTAGTCCACAAGAGTTGTGAAAGGAGTCAATGTTCCAGGATGAAGATTATCGAGACAGTGGTGGGTGACCGATCTATGGCAAGTAAGTCCATTGTGGCAGAGAGCAGAAAACAGCATAACAACTCACTTGTACAAGTCATTATCAAACTCTGCTTGCTGCCTATGTGCCTCATAAAGGGTAGCTCCTCGACAGTGATACTCAAGCATTGCCAGCGGCTGAGTCATATCGGAGGCTTTTTTGTGTGTACTGTCTGGGAGAAGCGAGAAGACCGCCAGAAAACATTCCAAGACAGATGCCCACTTATTATCAGAAGCGGGATCCATGCTGCGGGACAAGAATGGATAGATAAATGCATGGAATACTGAAATTCCATCATCCTCAGCAGTATCAAGATTTTCCTGCAAGCGATGAGCCCGTTCTATATCCTCCTCACTCAGTGGGAAGGTATATCCTGACTTATGACCCTGCAGAGATGTCAATACTGCATGAGCCAATGAACGCAGAGGAATTGAGTATTTCCGTAGAGTTGTGTCAGAGTCATGATATCTCCAGGGTGTTGTATGGCTTGAAACCCTACAAGGGCATTACATAAATTTGCATGGAATGGTATATGTTAACTCACCGAGGACACTCCATCAGGAGGCAACGCACACCGAGGGGAGACTTCTTGGCCAGGTTACGGATAGCTGTCATGTAGTTGAACACAACCTCATTCAAATGGCCAATCCCAGAGTGGTGAAGTCCAGTAGGTAGTTTCACCAGTTCACATAGATTGTGGCAGTGGACTCCATCCTGAGTCCATGGAGCAACATGTGCATGCCACTGAGTCATCTTGAGCAACAATGGCACCTCTTGCTCGCTGGAAACTGGTGCAATTACCCGGTGGTTCAACACCGGGAACTCCACTCGCATGAAGATGTCGAATGCAGTCTCGCTTGAATGTTGTAACATAGTTGTATCAACCTGGAAATACCTCTGGGGAACTGGGTGAAACAAAGTCTGAATAGACCCTGTCTTCCACTTCTCCTTGGCAGAGATGTTCATTGAGCTGTGCTCCTTGTTGTAGTGCCCTAGCAATGATCGGCGGGTACAAAAGCAAGCAGGACAGCCAGTGCAGCAGTAAGCATCTTCACGAACCTTGATGCCAGCCACAGGAGCACCACCTGGAGCAGGGGGAAGGATATCATAGTCACGACGGATGTCGTACTCTATGACCACTTTTTCAAGGTCCAGAGCATCAGTCTTGCGAACTTGGACACCATGGCCTTTTACGTGGGTCAGCACCGCCGTAGGTATCCAGCAAACCTCACAGCCAACGCAGATCAAGACCTTCAAGTACGCATGGATGCGTAAGCCAAGTCGATCAAGCAGAGGGGTAGAGATCAAGCGATTATCCGAGAATGGCATTGGAGGCTGAGTACGAGCAGGGTGGGACGGTATGGAAACATCTGGAAGAGCGGGAGGCAGGTTACACAGTGGAGTAGAACTGTGAGCTGATTCACCCCTTTCCGCAGCATTTTGCAATGTAACAGAGTCCGGCACAGCAGACTGACCGGCATTGGAGTGTCCCCGCACCTCATTAGAATCGATATCCATCATATCTGGAGCCGCATTCGCAACCAAAGGAGGATGCGTGTTGCCAGGACTATGGGAAACATAGTCCTTATGCTCCAACCTAAGGTGAGCCTTCATACTGGGTAGCTGCATGTGTGTCGTCCTACATCCTGGGACTGGACAACGTAATGCTGCTGTATCAGACTCTCGCTGAATTATTATGGTATGATCTACTGCTAGAATTATGGTCAGAGTTTTAAATACAGACATTGTACGCACCAGATAGTTTAATTTTGTTTTCCAGGCTATGGCAATCCTGCACATGGCCCTTCAGCATCTTCACAGACATACTGCATATGGAGCATTTGACTCTACAATAACACTGGTTCAGGAGTGACCTGCAATTTGCCCAGTGAACATACTTTGACATTATATAAGGGCAGATAATTGGAGTGACTGAAATGACTTTGATAAAGGCCAAAAACTCGAGATTCTAGCAAATAAAGTCAAACAAACAAAGTGCATGTAGTTTGATAAACCTCCTGACTGTATATCTGACTTGAGCTTGTGGTGGTGAGAGAGAGAGACAAGAAAATGTCAAAGCTGTGCAAAAACTCGAACTTGGAACAAACAAGAACAAACAA